GTGATCGTGTACAATGTGGTTTTTGAATTCGGTGGTGGAAATGCCTAATCAGAATTTAATGAAGTGTAACTCTAAGTTTCATTTTGAAAGTCGAGGGAGTTGATTAATATTTCTGTGTACCATATGCCACTCGTGGGTGATATATACAGTCTACAGTTTTCCACAGTTTATTGAACGACCGAAGACGCAAAAATTGACGGACGGGCCAAACAAATACCCCGTTGACACGCCCCGACTAACTTCATGACAGTGACTGTGAGATTATGACTGCTTTGAGTCCTTCTTTTTTTCGACATACCGCATGAGACCTTTCCAACGGAAGTAATGATTATTTTCATCGAAATATACTAAAATATTACCTGTCGCTGCTGCCTCCACTGCTCCCAAATGTAATCAACGAAGCAGTGGTGAAGGTAAAAGATTGGGTCGTTGGCCGATGTTGCAGTGTCATACATATCACCTCCAACGAATATATGCACATTTCCATGGGTATACTCCAGACAATTGTAATCGGTACGGTAAGGGCAACCCTGGAAGTTTCGCTTGTGGTAACGGTGTCTATTTTTCATTTACTAGCAATATTTTAGTCTCGAAGTTCTGCATGAATCGTAACGAAAGGAAGACACCGTAAATAGAACGCTGCCAGCCGGAGATGGGAGGAGATTGACCCTGGCCCTGGTTTCAGTACTAGGTTCGACCCTAACCCGGCATGTTCTGGTTTGGACCCCAATCTAATTTGAACCCAACCCCAAAAAGCTCGCCCTAGGATAGGTACGAGTCGAAGTTTACGTGCCATCAATTCCGAACTCCCTTTTAGATGAGGTTTAGTGACTTCAACCGCCGGTGTTCAGGAATCCAGAAACTAGCACCAGGCCCGGTGGCATAGTGGTTAGCGCATCGCTCGGTAAGAGGGTGATGCGGGTTCAAGTCCCGTACGCGGTCTAATTTCTGCCCATAACTCAGCATTCTTGTGGTAGCTTTCAAAACGTGAACTGCGGCGTTAAACAAGCCGTCATACTAAAGCAAAGTGGCAACTCTGTTTAGATCAAAGAACGAACCTGTCGTGGAGAAGAGAAGGCAAGCACTTGATCGACTTGGTTCTGGTTCATGAACGAAGTTGATATCGTTCTGCGTGAAAGGAGCACCTTGAGCTGCTACGGCTCTCTTAACATTAGCTTGACCCTGAATGAACAGTAATTCCTTAAAGAAAAACAGGATTGCCATAGAGGGCAAATCGGAAGGAGTCACTCACTTCAAGGGTTCTACACAGCCCCGCATAAGGTCCATTCAACAACCGAAGCCCTGTGGGTTAGTACTGCCCTCCAGCTCGGCCCTGAAAAATAGCTTTCGCTCGATTATTACTGCCTGATTTTCAAGATGGCGACATTTTGTGGGGCGTGGCAGCGATGCGATGAGTCACAAAGAAGGGAATAATAATTGATTTCTCTTACCTGCTTGGTTTTTTCTTTTATATTGTGACTAATTTTTCTTTATTTATGTGGATGCTCTGTTGTTCGAAGAAAACTTACACTTGATATCGCAATCGGTCGGGGCGGTCAGTCAGTGGATGGATAGGTGTCGGGTTCCAGCACTAGGTTTTTTGTCTTAAAGGCAGTTGGCACGATAAATCGCTATACAGGTGTAAGATTTGTACAACTGGCTTAACAGAATTCCGTGACCTCGGACAGGCGCTGCGTGAAGCCTTTTCCAAGGAGGGCACCCCTATAACGCCCCATTGAGCAACAAACTTTAGGACGCCACAACGCCTTCCTTGCCCGGCCCGCCCACAAACGGACGACCGTTTCTGACGCTCGTATTCATTCATTTGCTGGAGCAAATTATGAAACGAAAGGGATTGGTATGAAGCGGCCGTGATGCTGGGCATGGCATACTATGGGTTCACACTATGGCAGCCGATCTTCGAGGATAGGTGATTGGCAAGATGCGTACGGGAAACTCGTCCGAAATCGATTTACAAGTCACTGAGAACGGAGGCTTTTTCTTCGCCGGATTTTGACCGTTTCACTCCGTTCTTTCGCCATTTCCCCACTATACAGCGCCCTACTAGCATTTTAGGCTAAGTAGGAAACCATCGTGCCAACTGCCTTTAATCGATCCCTGACAAATTACCATCGGTAGAGCAAGGCAGCGAGGCAGGCTGTTTTCCGATCCTCACAGTGTCAGTGGCCCTCAGGTTGAAGGGTTTCCGGAAAATCTTTGGTGCAGCTAAAACTTCCATTCCACCTCACGGTTAAAAAGGATAGGCAGAAAGATCGAACGCGATTCTCATAGCCATCACCTATTGAAGGCATGATCCGCCTCCATGGCATCACCCGTGTCAGAGAACCAGCTCATCGGCACCACTCCTCTTCACCGTCTGAGAAGTAGGGGTACCCCAGTAAGGGTAAAGCGAAGCAGTGCCACGTCTCCACTCAGAGGCAGCGCCCGCGTAAGTTGAAATTTTCCCTATCTTGTAACCAGGTAAGCTGGTCCCCAGAGGCAGTGATGGCACCATTTTGGCGGCACAAAAGCGAATGGGGAGGCCGACGATGCCGTCGTTCACTCATTGGTCCGAGTCGCCTTAACTGTCCCCGCTCACCGATCTACTGACCATCATAACAGAAGACCTGCCAAAGAACATAGGCAGGAATATTGTTGTTAAGCGACCATATGGGCCCCGACACCACTCCCCTGGCGATCTATTTCGATCAGATCCTTCAATCGCCCTCTGCTCGTACGTTTAGTAGACGGTTCTATTAGGGGCATTAGGGGCACTTGCGACGATTTTTTTCCTGTTTTTCATCGCAATTAAATTTCTTGGCATCTTTGCATCCCTGTTTGAACCGCATTGCCCAGAATATCTAATCACGGGCTTTGCTTCCAACCATTTCTCGCAAAATGTGCTTCAAAGAACTGCACAAGAACAAAATACGACCGGTGTAAGTAAGCCGCTATTGCACTCTCAGCAATGATTACAGAAATAGAAGCCCCTACCTAGTGGTAAAAAAGCTGAAGAACTTACGTGAATAATACAGAATCACCAGGACGCGGTAGAGCACTTTCCAGTGTTGAATCCCAATATGGGAGTGCTAGGGATGGATCGATTTGCCGCAGGGCAAATTCGTATCTGAAATAGATTAAGTTGTTCTAATGAGAAAGATTACGTACCCACGATCTACACTGTAATATACAGGAGGGGGGGGGGGGGGCAAAGAAAACACTTTTCTTTCTCGACTTTCAAGGCGATATAAGTTACACTTTATTAGATTGCGATGAGCATTTTCACCTTCAGGTTCACGAAACTCCGCGCAGCCTTTTGGACGAACGCCACCGAGACATTCCGTC